TGCCAGCTTTGTCCACATATTCACTCTGTTGACACCATTATTGGGCCTAACCAAGTGAGTTACAAGATCAAGAATACATATTCCTGCGCCTCCAGAAATATAATCTATGCTATCATGTGCCGAAAGTGTCCGTCTGCTATGTACATTGGACAAATGTCTCAGACACTTCGCCAAAGGATCAATGCCCACAAAACAGACATTAGACAGGATCACAAAGAAAAAACAGTTGCTTGCCATTTCAACCAGAAAGGACACTGTCTCAATGACCTACTCACCTGCATCCTACTTCAGAAGACATTCAAATCTGCACTTGAAAGGGAATCCTCTGAACTGGCATTCATGCTAAAATTCGACACTCTCCGTGGGGGGCTGAACAAACACACCAACTACCTTACCCATTACAAAGATAGCTTCCCCAATTATCACCTCTAATACTATTAACTCACAGACATCTACCCTTCCCCACCTCTAATATCATTAACTCACAGGCATTCACCTTCCTTTCCCCCCCCCCCTGCATCCCCCTTCTGTTCTGAAATGTGATTTGTCCTTTTCATATGTGTTCATTTTTTTAAATTGTATCCTTTGATATATATGGCTGAGACTATTTTCTTCCACTATTTGATCTGAGGAAGTGGGTCTGGCCCACGAAAGCTCATCATCTAATAAACCATCTTGTTAGTCTTTAAAGTGCTGCATAGTCCTGTATTTTGTTTCAGCTACACCAGACTAACACGGCTACATTTCTATCACTATTGCACAATCCTTGGTATTCTTTTAATTTCTCTTTAATGGAAAACAGGGGAGGAGGGGGGGAGTCAGTAAATCAGCATTCTGGAGTCTAACAGGATCCTCATGGTCCAAGCTGGAACGGTGGGACCTCTCTGCCTCCTTAACTCTTTCCAGCTTGGTCTGTCTCAGGCGATGCTGTGTTAGAAACAACCAGGAAACTCTCCAGGGCCTAGGAGCATTCAGCCACCAGCATCATGTTGCATGGATGCTCTCTAAGCCACCAGCAAATCTCCCATGGCCTTCCACCCCAGAAATATACAGCCTTTGATGCTGCTCAGGGCCTTCTCTGGAACAATGCAAGCTCGTTAATTAGTTCCCCATTTCAAGGATGGGGGACATGCACCGGTCTTTGTATTCTGAGTGGATTCCCCAAGCCCTGTAGACAAAATGACTGGTAAAGATAAAGCAGTAAAATAAGTGTAGTTCCGACTGAAAGAGTAAATGATTGTAAGTGGTACGACAAAATTGGCTCTCTGTTTTGCCTAAGAAATACAAGTAAAAGGGCCGCCTGACTTCTAACATTTTATCAGACAAAGCAAGATTTGAATCCAGCAGCTTTTCTCACCACACTAGATGCTGCAGACGAGTGACAGTTCTTAATACACAAGTTATATTCCCTTGTCAGCCGGGGGCCAGTCTCCTCAGTTCCAAGCCTGTGTCTCCTCGGCCTTCATCAGCGTAGACAGGGTGACGAGAGATGGTTTCATGATGTCACTGTCCCTGGTTTTCTACTCCCAATGTCCCATGAAAGATACTGGCCCCGACATGTCCTAGTGGGCCTTGCTGAATCTGAGGGAAACCATCCCCCATCATGTGGTGCTTAGGTAACTGAGTCCTAGTGTTGACCAAGTCTCGTTGCCTGGTGTCGGTTCTGAGGTGAGAATCTCTTCTGTGTAATTCCCCTGCTGGTCAGTGGCGTGGGGTGGTTGCTTAGCATCTGTTTGGAGGCGGCTCACTGGAGATCTAGCAGTGGGCATCCCCCAAACTCTCAACCTATTTCAATAACAACCAGACAGCAAAACTACATGGACAAGGAGGACAGTGATTTTCGGCAGGCAAGGCAATGCTTTGTATGAAATGCCTCCACCGTGTAGCAATGGTGAATATGGGCATGATGCGGTGCTACTTTGAGGTACGGTGTATCACACTGAGACCCTACAATAACAAACTAGTGCATGCCGGAGTGCTCTCTAGTCATGAGTAACCCTACGCTAACAAACCAGCATGTTCGCCATCACAGAGGGAAACATCCTGGCCAGGAAATAGTTCAGCGTCTGACTCCCCAGGGACTGTGGACAATGCTGAGAGGAAAATCAATTTAAAAGCAGACCAGGACTCGGGCTCCTCGAGAGAGAGGAACGGCGTGAGGTGTGCAGCTCCTCCCTCTCTTGTCCTTTCAGAGCAAGTGTATGTGCAAGCGGGGCTATGCTGGGGACGGCTACAACTGCGACCCAATCGACCCCTGCAAGCTGGACAAGGGGGGCTGCCACGATTTGGTGAGTGCCTGGGGAGCTCTCTTCATGGAGGGAAGGCCGGGCCAGGCCCACGGGGGACGTATTTCGCTGTCGCACCAGTGCATGCAGGGGAGCTATGTTGATATTCACCCGCCGATATCCTGGCCCAGCGGGCCCGCCTGTGCTGTGCAATGATCACATCTACCTGTGACGAAGCGTAACGATGCTGCGGCCATTCGTTTATCGTGTTTGTTCACGCTCCCGTGTCTTACGAGGCTGTGCGAGAAGGTGTGGGGGGGGGAGGAGAGATTCTTAGGTGTACAGTGAAAATACACTCTTTGAGCAGAGGGGACCGTGGGGGGGGGGGAAGGGGGGAATTGCTTTGAAGGCCTTTTCCTGAGTGCCCACAGTTGCCCCAGGCTTTCTGAGTGGCTAACACTGAGCAGTGCTCTGTCTGTTTTACTTCACAGTAACCCTTGCTTTTCTTGTCCTCACAGGCTGTATGCGAGCCTCTTGGTGGAGGGGAGCGGTCCTGTGTTTGCACTCCCGGTTACGTGGGCGATGGACTTACGTGTTACGGGGATGTATTAAAGGTAGGGAGGAAACGCCCATTATTCTCTTTTAATTCAAAGGAAAAAGTGTATGCAGTAGCTGAACCGGTTGATACTAAAATCTGCAGGTGACAACAGCTGATGGTTTGAATCCTCTGCTGATTTTCCATCCTGACTGATGTATTGAACTGTCCAGTTTGAAACGTCCGCACTAGGGATGTAACCGGTTAACCAGTAGCATCCCCTTTACTGGGTGATGCTTACCAGTTAACTGGTGGGCCGACTGGGCTGGAGCAGCCCCCCCGTCCATGGGATCACGGTTAAGCAGTTAACTGGTTAAACATAATGCTTAACGGGTTAACTGTTTGTGTTGTGTCCATGAATTGGAGGAAAGGGAAGGAGAGCAATTTGATCCCCGTTGTATTGTTAGTTTGATTTACTATAGGAGACCAGCTAGCATGCCACCCTCTGCTTGTCCATCCAAATAGTTACATTTCCCTGGAACCCGTGTAAGTCTCCAGTACACTTACATACAAAGTGAAAAGTCTGACAGCAATTAAAAACGGGACAAGTCTACACAGAGAACATACTTTCCCCCTCTCCTGCTTCAGAGGCGAAGAACCCCTAGGCTCCCAAGGTCCTTGTCCACCTTATGTTTGAAAATGGATATAATTGGCTGTTGAACATGTTTTAAAACCTCAAGCGTGTAGACCCAGCTCTCTGACTCTGAAACGCCCTTTTGTGAGTGACATGTGGCTTCTGAAAGTTCTGTGGTGACAGGGAAGCGCTTGACTCCGCCAAGTTTGCTGGGTTTGAAGAAGACTTGAAATAACCAGGCTCACAGAACCACCCTTCCCTCCTTTGCTTCGTTCCCCACTGCAAGCTCTGAACTTGTACTAATCTTGATGTTGCTTTCTCTGTTGGAAGGAGCTGGCCAGGAATTCCCTCTTTGCAGGCTTCTATGAGTGGATTAAGGTAAAAAAAATGCTGCCTGAAGCAATTAAAAGTATATTTGTGAAATATAAATTAACCAAAAATAAATCAAAGATGCTGTTTTTAAATTTCTTACGAGGCAAAGATTCCCTTTACATGTGTTATAAAAAATTAAGCAAGTCAAGCTGAACATTACTAATAAACAGTACTTGAACCAAAAAATTGCGCCCTATTTAGCTCCAGTAATGACTGGGGGTTTTAAAATTCCAATGCATTTTAGAGTTTCAGATGAGTTGTGACTTGTATGGCAGATTTGTACTAAATGGAGAGATTGATTGCATTTAGCTGTGCTTTCAATAGCACCGTGTGAAAGATTAGGGAGGAATAGGCATGTACCCTCTCATGCTCTCAACGGGATCTTATTGTATACACGTGAGTGGTGTGTCACGAGGCGGCATACACCAGGACACATGCTCTAGAGGCTGTAACTGAGACCCGTTGGCTGGTGTGGCATCTTTCGTGGGCCATGCTTCTCATTCTGGAAGATCATAAGACCTTCATACCATATATTGCTGCTGCCTCGTGGCTGTTGTAAAGTCGCTGATTGCTTTGGGTGAAAGGTAGACAGACAGAAAACACCAACAGGAGTAATTCTGCCAGTTACACCTGCATTTGCCAAGTCCGGTTTGGTCCTTAGTCTAAATCTGGCCTCAGGTGTTGGAAGGGATTTACTAAATCAGGTGAATATGCTCCGCTTTTCAAGATGATGAGAACGGGTTTTGACTAAAGATTTTGACTAAAGGGACTGGCAGTATAAAACATATTAAGAACTTTCTCTCTGCCGTGCTTATTCAAGGGGGTTGTTCCTTGAAGTTGTCAATTTCCTAGGTTCAGCACTCAGTAAATTGAGGTTAGGCTTCTGAGAGAGAAATTTCCACGGCATTGTCTGTCTCCTGTCACTGCTTATATCCCAAACACAACTGAGGCGCTGCTTACAACGGCGTGTATTTGTTAGTCCCGCATAGTCATCTCACGTGCGGTGGGAGTGGAATCACAGCAATACGTGTGTGTACTGCCCTGTCCATGTCGCACTGACTTGTGGTATTTGTGCCTCTCTTTGCTCTGGACCGCAGAAGTCCCTCTTCAGCATCCCAGCAGGAGCCAACGTCACTGTTCTGGTGCCCTCGGAAGCCGCCATCAAAAACCTGAGCCAGGCTGAACAAGATTTCTGGCTGAAGCCGTACACGCTGCCATTTTTAGTCAGGTACCACTGGACGGTTCCCACGGCGTTCCTTCCCTGTCAGCTCCATGCCAATAGAAAACCATTGCAGGGTAATAACCTAGCCAAGATACAACACCCAGCAGAAGTGTTTATTGGGGGGGCTAAAACATAACAGAGGCTAGGAGATCTGAGGAAGTTTTATTAAAGGCCAGATGCTTTTTCCAGCCATGATCCAGAAACAAGGGCCACTGGGAGAGGGAACAGGGACTTTTCCCTGCATGCTGCTTTTTCTGCAAAGAGCCCTTGCCCAAGCAGATGTTGTGAGAAGAGCACAAAGCCTGCAGCTCTCACCCCCCTCTTTAGAGAGGCTCAGCATGTGGTGACCCACAGAAACGGGGGGTGGGGCCCAAGTGGTTAAGGAGGATTAATTAAAGGGCTGAAGTAGGGGAGGTGTGTGAGTGCTGGCTGGGGAACATGGACCTGGCTGGGCCGGTGAGCAGGAGGGAAGAGCTAAGGTCAGAGTTGTGTCTGAGTATTGAGTAGCAAGTGGAAAGTGGGAGGAGTTTTTAAAGCACTGAGGAGATGGAGAAAGCGCCGAACTTGTGGGGAGAGGCAGCGGGACTGAGCTGGCCCTGGAGATGGTTGTGCACAGACGGTGCTGCAAGTGGGAATTGGGTGGGATCGAAGGCAGCTCCCCCACCGCTGCTGTTGGAGAAGGGGAGAAATCTGGCGTCCTCTTCCGGGGTGAGGTGAGCAATGGGAAATCATGGTGCCCCATAGGAATGGCTGCTAAGATTCGCATGGTGCCCCATAGGAATGGCTGCTAAGATTCACTGTTGCCGCCCATTGCCTGGGGGTGAGGAGTGACCATCTGGTCCTCTGCTTACCATGAGCAGGGCTCAGTCTCCCTGCCCCCTTCACGCCTACCCCAGCAAAACTGGAGCAGAGTAGCCCCGACGGTCTCATCCAGTGCACTGTGTTCTGTGTTTTTTCTAGCTTGGGAAAGAAACAGAGCCCCACCTGCCCCACATCCTGGCCGCCTCCTGCCCCTTCCTTACCATGCAGCAGCGACTGGCTGTGTCCACCCAGTGTGCACCCTCCTATCCACGCTTCCCTCAGTGTGGCTGCAGAGCTCATGCATCCTCCTATCTGGTCCCAGCCAACTTTTGAATGTGGCTGTAGCCAGGCACAAGGGTAGAAACAGCAGTTTGTCCAGTGGGCCAATTTCTACAGCGCCAGAGCAAACTGGCCTTGCGCGGACAAGCTGCACCGGGGTTTGGGAAGGGCCACACATGCTTATCAAGGCCACTCGATGGCCGCACATTCACCTCACGGGCTGTGTAGCAGTTGCGGGCTGCATGGTGTATCTGGGAGGGTCAGTGCCAGCCGTTTGGATTTGGGGCAGATGTTAGCTTTTATTGTGGTCGCCCCGTGTCAGCCGTCCCTAGAGGAAACGTCTCACGGAGGGACTTTGTAGAGAGCTCAAGGCCCAGGAGGGGAGGAGCTAGAGTATGTGAGCTCCCACATACACTGGTTCAATATCTGGAGCAGGTGCTCTTCAGGAGTGAACGTGAGAGAGCACCTGTGTCCTGTTGCAGACGCACTGAATGCTGGAAACACCTCAGGCTTGGAACCGCTAAGTGACTCTCAGATCTGCTGGAGTGATGGGAGGGCTGCTTGTTAGTTGCCGTCTCCATGCCAAGGGGTTGATGGATACTGAGAGGAGACCAGGCCCAGGAGTGTGGGGAGCCAGCTGTGTGGTCAGACGGCAGCCAAGATAAGCCAGTCAGCTCCAGAGGCCTCTTACATGTTACAAAGCACGTAATCAGTTCCTCTTCACGTGTGCTTCACCCACAGGGCTCATTTCCTCCAAGGGTCCTTCACCAGTGAGCAGCTCAAAGGGTACCAGGGCGAGGAGCTACCCTCTCTCAATCCACGGACCAGATGGGAGATCACCAACAGCAGTGGTGTAAGGGCTTTTTAATTAAGGAGTGTATATTGGTAGCAAATTAAACGAGATGTTTAGGGACATACCAAGCTGGGAGAGCCATGGGGAGGACAATGCCATTAAATTCCTGATGTATCATGTAAGTCTGGGGGGCTGCCGATTGTGGTTTGTTTCATCCTACTCAATAATCTATAACAATCCCTCTTGTTAATTTTTCAGGCTATAGCCATTGAGAATGCAGTCGTCGTAGTTGCTGACATTCCTGCGATTAACAGCACCATTTACCTCATCAATAAGGTAAATCGGTAAGAACAATGTCTGGAAGTGCCAGATTATCATTGCTGTCACTCAGTTGTTTTCTGTTTGTGGAGGGGTGGGGGGATTCAAAGAGAATCCCAGGGGAAGCATATAGACAAAAGTAGATCTGGCTATTCCGAGCTCATCAAATGGTGTAGAAAAGTCCAACACTTGGCTCTTTGAGAAAAGAGTGAAGGCCTGTCCAGACTAGGAGCAAAACCATGCTAACTATTGCATTTTCACATCAAAAGCTACGAATGGGACACATCCAGCCCATTTAATGAACCTCATTGACACGGGTCCTACAATTGACAGGTGCTTCTGCTGTTGTGTATATCTTGGGTTCTGTTTTTTCCACTCCAATTCATCTAATGAAGCGGGTTTTGCCCACAAAACCTCATGATTCTCTCTCTCTCTGTTTGTTAGTCTCTAAGGTGTTACGGGGCAACTTGTTTTACAACCAGGTGAAATTATTTCCATTGTAGAGCTGCTTTTCCGAAGCACCCTCTGTCTTGTGGTCAAGCTCATCTTTGTCTGTCTTGTGCTCAGGTTTTGTTACCGCCTTTGGGAGATATCCCACCAGGCCGCCCTGGTCTGCAGCAACAGCTCGATATGGTCCCCTCATTTAGTCTGTTCAAGGAGTCGTTACTGGTAAGGAGTTGTTTGGATTCTATTGCATATTAATTGTAAGAAGCCTTTTTTGATTATGAAGTCATTGAACTAGCCTAACTGTAGGACTAAGCCCGCATGGCCAACGAAGGAAAAATCAACCTGATTTTTGTGGTGCTCCCAAGCTGTATTCTGGGAACAGGACAGACTTATAAAAGGAACGAGTAACTCCACGGGGAATCAGACCTCACAGAACTAGAACAAGACACATCAAATGACCCTCCTTCCTCCCCCCATTTTAGCTGTAAAGCTTCTTTGGAGTGGTTAGTTTCTTTGGAAGTATGACGTCATTACTCAGATGCTACAGTTTAAAGTAAAGTGATACGCTGGATCTGTGAGACCCTTTGTGTGCGCATGCGTGTGTGTACACGTCTCGGAATAGGAACGCGTTAGAAATGATGGGGACTAGAGATGATTCTTGCAGGGGACTTCTAGATACACACTGTAAGCATGAGGAAGGAAGGTCACTTATCCAAGTCCAGCAAGACCTCAGCACGGTGGATGGCTGCTGTTTCCCATGATTCTTCTGGATCTTGCCATGCATCTTATGCACTGTCAAAGCATTTCTCTTGGAGTTCTTGCCTGAAGCCTCCCTCCTAACTGATAGTCAATAACGTTTCATCAGGTTTTTGGTTTTTTTGTTTCTCGCTCATGAACTTTTTAATATAAAACTAGTTCACTAACTAATCTCCCCTTGTTTTGCAACTTTTAGCAATATCAGCTGATTGAAAATATTGAGTCCTCTGAAAAATATACCATTTTTGTCCCAGGAAACCATTCAATTGGGGAATATTGTCATGCTTCCAACATCACAGAACTGGTAAGTTGTCTGTTTACAGCCTGTGTGTCGTTATCAATTACAGGGTCTATATTGTACCATCAGGCTCTAGTCCTGCATGCCTAGTGAGGAATTTTGCCTAAAATTATGCATAGCATGACCAGGAGAAAGGAGTTGGCAATGACAGCAGGGAAAGGCGGTGTTGGAGGGTAGGTGGAGTTGTAGTTGGAGAGACATCTAACATTAGGAAACGTGGCGGGAAGATGTCTCTGGAGTGGTGGGTGAAAGGAAAGGGTTCTGTGGATTTAACAACTGAGTCTGGGGCACCATATAAGGAATTTTCCTGGCCATATTTCTGATGACCACTGCTATGTAGTATTGGCCATTTTCGATATCTGGACTCCTTAAAAAACATATTTAAAATGTGATGTGCATGTAAGCAGATCCAGAGGAGAAAGGAGTTGGCAATGACAGCAGGGAAAGGCGGTGTTGGAGGGTAGGTGGAGTTGTAGTTGGAGAGACATCTAACATTAGGAAACGTGGCGGGAAGATGTCTCTGGAGTGGTGGGTGAAAGGAAAGGGTTCTGTGGATTTAACAACTGAGTCTGGGGCACCATATAAGGAATTTTCCTGGCCATATTTCTGATGACCACTGCTATGTAGTATTGGCCATTTTCGATATCTGGACTCCTTAAAAAACACATTTAAAATGTGATGTGCATGTAAGCAGATCCAGCAAAAATTTCTGACCTCATGAACCGTGTAGTGATTCAGGTAAATGTCCAATCCTTTAGAAAGGTTTCCTGACACCATTTGGGTTTTTTGATCAAAGCCGGTCGTACAGTGTTGATGGACTTAGTTCATTATTGGCAATCACTAGAGCTAGCCATCGGATTATGGATAACTTACTGTTCCTTTTACGCTCTACTTACCTTTAGCTGTGAAACAATAATACGCTAAATGTTTTGCTTCCTGCTGGTTCTGGGTTGCAGGATAATGCCACGGTGCAATACCATGTTGTACTTGGAGACAAACTCTCCTCTACAGACTTGAAAAGTGGAGTCCATAAAGCCACAATGTTAGGATTCTCCTACTGGCTACAGTTTTATAACTCCACCCAGGTAAGGATGGGGGAAGTTTTAGCTGCAAAATTTGTTGGGGGAAAAATCAACAAGGTTTCTGCAAAGGGAAATAATTTTCTCACCAATCTACTAGAATTCTTTGAGGCAGTCAACAAGCATGTAGGTAAGGGGGTTCCAGTGGATATAGTGTACTTAGATTTCCAGAAAGCCTTGACAAGGTCCCTCACCAAAAGCTCTTAACTAAAGTTAGCTGTCATGGGGCAAGAGGAAAGACTCTCATGGATCAGTATTGCTTTAAAGGTAGGCATAAATGATCATTTTTCAGAAAAGAGAGGTAAATAGTGGTCTCTGTTGGGACTGCTGCTGTCTCTGTTGGGACTGCTGCTGTCCAACGTGTGAATAATTGATCTGGAAAAACAGGATAAGCAGCAAGTGGCAACGTTTGCAGATGATTCAAGAACATGTTGAGATCTAGGGGTGAAAAACAAAATGGAAGCGCGAAGTATTAGTATCCTGAATAGCACAACGTTTTCCCAGGGAGTTATCTTCTTCGCCCATCTTCTCCGTGAGTCTCAAAAAACTTCTAGTGGGGGAGATGTATCAGTCAGCTCTCCTCCTTCAGAGCAGAGGCAGTCTGTTAGGGGAGAGAGCTTTCTAATGTGAGTAGGAAGATCTGCATTTTGGTGTTCGGTTATCTGAATTAACCCCTTCTGGTAATGAGCCTGTCAGAACTAAACTAAAGCAAGCATGCTTCAGGTCTGCTCCATTTTTAGCTGGGAGGTCTTCCTGGTATAAGCAAGGGCTGCAGAAAGGGGTGGTCATTATGCATGAGATGTGATGTCTTCTGGGGACACTTGAGGTGGTTCTACTGATGGGACCATCTTTTGGATGAGGGGAGAGTTCCCCAGCCCTTGCTACTGAGGTATTCAGGTCACTTTTTGTGAGAGTTTGTGGAGCTGACCCCTGTGCTGTGTTTGATCTAGATTGTGGGTAACCACATTCCGCCTACCTTAATCCACTGTAGTTTTTCCTGGAGGAGTGTCTGCGTGCACAATAGTTGATGCAACTATCCCAGTGGTAGACGAGCAAATGTCCAGCCTAAAAGCAGCTGGCTAC